CAGACCTGCTGTTTGATCCTGTCTTGCTCTACCAGACCTGTTATCTCAACCTCTAATTGCTCAGCTATGAAGAGCCATCTGGCATTTACTCCTGATGTGCTGAACTATTTCACCCTCTGTAACTACTGTGATTATTATATGACCCTGCTGGTCATCTATGAATGTTTAAACGTCTTGAAGAGCGATCTGGCCTACACGGCTGTACTCTTTAATAATCTCCACCAGCACAGCCAGAAGAGGACTGGCCACCCCTCAGAGCCTGGTTCCTCTCTAGGTTTCTTCCTAGCTACTGTGCTTCTACTTCTGCATTGCTTGCTCTTTGGGGTTTTAGGCTGGGTATCTGTATAAGCATTTTGTGACATCTGCTGATGTAAGAGGGGCTTTTTAAAATACATTTGATAGATTGCTTGAATATGCTTCTATTCATGTCAGTAACTCTAAATCTAAATATGACATTGAGTTATCTTACATTTCCTCAATAGTAAGTTGTACCTTAAGCCAACACTTTTCCCTGGTCTTTCCTGCTGGGGACAGGGGGCTTCAGGTTTGGGAATGGAGGGCCTAGAGAATTGGAATATTAACAATAATTAGTGTCCACATTTATGAATGAATGAAATTCAATTTGGGTTAGCTGTGTATCTCATCTGATTGAGAATTGCTGATGATATACTGTATATGTCTATTTTCTTTTGACAATCTGCCACCGAACGACACAATTCTATCTAGTGACAGTGCACACAATCTTTAGCTTATTTTACCAGGTCAAAAATAACATCATTTTGTCAAGGGAGACCTGATAAATAGGACAGAGCTCTCAAGTAAAAGGCATATCCATAGCTGGTAGGTCATGACAGCATGCACTAAACTGGAGCATGCAGTTACCAGGAGCAATCAAATATAGTTAAACTGGTAGGCCTACTGGAAAACTGCATCGCATTTAAAACACATATTCAAAGTGCACAGTGGAGACCACTGAGTTATTAGTATGTCAATATTATAAACCTATTTTTGGATTGAACATTTGACATTGTGTTGATATAATGCCCTCTGCTGTCCATCAGGAATATTGCAGTAAGCCCAACTCCCTTGCATCCCACTTAGTTCTCTCCCAGGGCTCATAGTTTTGGCTGGCAGAGTTGAGGATGTCTTGTAAGATCAGGCTGAATGAATGTGGAATATTTGAGAGTATTACTCTATTTGCACTGTAGTCAAGGTACTACTGCACTGGAATATATCGTGAAAATAGGCATTTTAGTGGTGCATGTACAGTGTGTGGATCATACACACTTTTGTTGAGTCAGCAAATCATTCATAGTCAGCGAATTATTCACATTTGGAACATTGGTTTTTCTGCTATATTTCCCCTCAGTTCTCAGATTGACAAGTAGAGAAGTCTGTTCTGTGTTTGGATCATTTTAAGACCTCTCAGATCCATATGGCTAAATCTCATTAAGAGAATTATCAACGTTGATGGAGGAACAACATGAGATAATACCAGCAACTCCCCTCAGTAGAGACCACATGCGTTTGTTCATAATATGCCAAATCTGCTCCTTTCTTTAGAAAGTACACTATACAGTAGATACAAAACTATGTGGACACCCCTTCAAATTGGTGGATTTGGCTATTTCAGCCACACATGTTGCTGACAGGTGTATAAAATCGAGCACACAGCCATGCAATCTCCATAGACAAACATTGGCAGTAGAATGGCCTGACTTTCAACGTGGCACCGTCATAGGATGCCACCTATCCAACAAGTCAGATTGTCAAATTTCTGCCCTGCTAGAGCAACTGTAAGTGCTGTTATTGTGAAGTGGAAACATCTAGGAGCAACAATGGCTCAGCCGTTAAGTGGTAGGCTACACAAGCTCACAGAACGGGACTGCTGAGTACTGATGATCGTAGTGCGTAAAAATGGTCTGTCCTCGGTTGCCACACTCACTACTGTGTTCCAAACTGCCTCTGGAGGAGGAATAATGGTCTGGGGCTGTTTTTCATGGTTCGGGCTAGGCCCCTTAGTTCCAGTGAAGGGAAATGTTAATGCTACAGCATACAGTGACATTTTAGACGATTCTACGCTTCCAACTTTGTGGCAACAGTTTGGGGAAGGCCCTTTCCTGTTTCAGCATTACAATGCCCCCGTGCACAAAGCGAGGTCCATACAGAAATGGTTTGTCGAGATCGGTGTTGAAGAACTTGACTGGCCTGCACAGAGCCCTGACCTCAACCCCATCGAACACCTTTGGGATGAATTGGAATGCCGACTGCGAGCCAGGCCTAATCGTCCAACATCAGTGCCCGGCCTCACTAATGCTCTTGTGGCTGAATGGAAGCAAGTGCTCGCAACAATGTTCCAACATCTAGCGGAACGCCTTTCCAGAAGAGTGGAGGCTGTTATAGCAGCAAAGGGGGGACCAACTCCATATTAATGGCCATGATTTTGGAATGAGATGTTCGACGAGCAGGTGTCCACATACTTATGGTCATGTAGTGTATGTTCAGACATGATTTACTAGGGTGAAAATGAAAACGCTGGATGGCTTACTCTCATGTTTTAATTAATTCAGTTACAGTAGTATGGAATTAAGTTGAAACAGACACACATATTTTAAGATCAAGATTGAAAGTTACCTGACCAAAGGTCATTGTACTTGTCATTTCGAAAGGACAATCACTTCCATACCATAACTACTTTTTCCACTGTGTGAGACGTTGCATCCTCTTGATATACATTTTATCCACAAGAGGGCACCTCAGCTCTTTTAACTTCCCTGGCCTCATCAATAGTTATACTCAGGCATAACCAGCTAGACAGCAGATTTATCAACAGCCACCCCTACCTCTTGGCAAACCCAAGCTCTTTCAAATGGTTTACATATGACCTGAGAACAAAATTAGGCTATTTTAAAGAATTCAACATAATTACAGTAGAACCTTGATATGAAATAAAATTAATCAAATCAAATGTTATTTGTCACATGCTTGGTAAACAACTGGTGTAGACTAACAGTGAAATGCTTACTTACAGGGCCCTTCCTAACAATGAAGGAAAACAAATAAATAATAGCACAAGGAATAAATACACAATGAGTAACGATAACTTGGCTGTATACACGGGTGTATACACGGGGTACCAGTACCGAGTTGATGTGAGGGGTACGAGCTAATTGAGGTAGATAAGTACAGGGTAAAGTGACTAGGCAACAGCATAGATGATAAGCAGTAGCAGCAGCATATGTGATGAGTCAAAAGAGTTAGTGCAAAGAGGGTCAATGCAGATTGTCCAGGTACCTATTTTGTTATTAACTATTTTGTAGTGTTATTTACATTTACATTTTAGTCATTTAGCAGACGCTCTTATCTGTTAAGATCATTTATTAACTAACTATTTCAGTGTCACTGTGCGTTTCCCAAAGTTTGTAAGACTTTGGTTCAAGAAACGGACAGAGCCTCAGTGCAATAGCCAGGTCTTTATTCAGAGAATTCTGCCCAGAGAATTCTGTTATCACAATTTCAGAGTCCATCTTTTATACACACACGTCATACAAAAATCCCACCCCGCTTTAGGCGGGCTGTATTCTACCACTGTACATGGGTTTAGCTGATGTTTTCCTCTGCTCTCCTGACCATCAGGTCACACACACACACATATTCTTATCAGAGTCTACTCCTTGCTCGGGCAGGCTGCATTTTTTAGTTATCGCCGTTCTCACAATATTCTGACTGCCTCATTGTACTTCTAACTAAGCTACACATATTATCAGATTATAGTTATAGATTATTATTATAGATTATGATTCTAACACTTTTCATACAGTTTCAGGGTGTAGTAATTAGTCATTAATAATTAGTAATTACCAAATTCTTCTATCACTTATCCAGAGCGACTTACAGTTAGTGAGTGCATACATTTTCATACTGGCGCTCCACCAACTGAGCTACACAGGACTACATGACTTGGGGGTAGAAGCTGTTCAGGGTCCTGTTGGTGCATCGGTACCGCTTGCCGTGCGGTAGCAGAGACAACAGTCTCTGACTTCGGTGGCTAGGGTCTTTGACTATTTTCAGGGCCTTCCTCTGACACCACCTGGTAAAGAGGTCCTGGATGGCAGGGAGCTTGGTCCCAGCTATTTTATTTGGCCCCATTTTTTTCCATAGAATTTATTTTTATCAAAAGGTTTTTTGTTGTTGGACACAAGACTGTAAAATCACCAGGAAATCAGATCAAAGTGATTTTAATTTAATAAATCTGTTCCCAAGTATTCCCACACATAGATAAATAATGTGATTGTATCTCAATGTAATCAAGGTTTGAAATAATAATGTTTTTGTCAAATACTATATCTGTTTGGGCTTCTTCGGTCAATTTGCAGTTTACAAATTATTTATAATTATGTTTCTGACCCCCTACCATCCGCTTAATGAATCGGTCTGTGGCTTAATGTAATCAGAAAACATAAACATTTAAAATAGTTTAAATGCACATTTTGAGTAGACTATTACAATCAAATTAAACTGGGCATGGATAACTCACCCCTTCTCATTTCAACATTTTCAGTCAATAAAACATAAAAAGGTAATACAGTATATAATTCATTCTTTAATTCCTTCAATATATAAAAAAAAAGCAGGAAAACACTGACATTCAACAGAATTCCACAAGCAGTCATAGTCATAGATTCACTTAATTTCCATAAATTAAAGTTTACATAGAAATGTGCAATAAAACATTACCAATGGTCAGTGTAGGGGAAAGATCAGTGTAGGGGAAAGATTTGATAGTTCAATTGCCCTTCCTAACCCCAAATTCATCAATCAACCTTTATTGAAACAAAGGTCAATTACATTGGCAAATGAAAACATTTGAGAAGACCTTGGTGATTATTTCTGTTATCATAAACGCGTCCCTTTAAAGTTTAAGTTCTTCAACTAATCATCTGTGTTTTCGTTCTGTGAAAACGAACTGACGTCATGGCGACGCTGAAACCAATATTATTTTAGCACTGTTGTGAGAACGCTGTGTTCTCACCACATCTGTCTGCCATACTGTCGAAGAAGAGCCAGGAGCGAGGGCCAGGGCCATACTTCACAAAGGACACATAGTGGCTGGTGTGGATACAGAGCACAGCGAACAACTGCATCATGTGCCTGGGTAAAGGGGCATCTGCCGGAACCTCCGCTGGCACTGCCAGGGCTCTAGGGCAGTGGCCCTTCCGAGAGGGATGAGTGTGCACCTGTCACAAAGGGAGAAGTGGAGATAGAGAGGAAAGGGAGGTGGGGAAGAGGGAAAGTAGAGAGGGAGATTCAGTAAGATAAAGAAGAGGAAATCAATACACTTGCAGGTAGAAAAGCTGTAACTCAAACAGTCATGCTGCTTAATGGTGTCTACCTGTGTCTTGCAAGTAGTGCAGTACTGTTTAATTATTCCTGGCTGGAGCTTGCGGTCCTGTAGGCACTGGGGGCACTCATACTCTGCCAAACGCCCACAGAGGAAGCACTCACGGGGGGCTGATGGGAGAAGGAAGGTGGAAAGCTGTCACTCAACCTGAAGACAGTTTACTATGGCAAGCTATGCTTAGGGAGTTACTGTATGGCCTTTTATTCATAGTTACATACGTGGCTGACGTGTGACCAGCGTTTTGCAAAAACACTCTGTCAGTCTTCATTACATTGACTGATGGTGTAACTCAAAGTTGTATAGAAGATCTGTGATGTCAAGCTCTGTCGTGGGGATGATGTGGGGGAACATCTTGTACTTTTTCCCAAACCTTGGCATCTGGACCATGAGACAGGATGGGATCTGAGGGACATTTTAGAGACATTAAACATTAGAGCAAAGGGATTGCCTTCCAAACAAAACGTGGGCGGTCTACAAGGCCTCGTAAACATTGCTCCTTAGACAACCTTGCACAGTACCACCCACCTCCTCAAACCTGAGGCCACAAGACAGGAAGGAGGTATCCAGCAGCTGCTGAACAGTGGGAGTCTGTGTCACCTGCTCCTTATCCAGAATAATCTGGAATGTGTAGGCATCCTGAGATGTGTCGTTATTCGACCTGAGACCCAGAGAACAATCAAGCTAAGCAACTCAATCATGGCAGAGTGACCAAACAGAAACTCAGAGAGAAGCCCAGACCATTAGAATGGAGATAAGCAGTGTGAGGAGGGGAAGCAAGGAGCAATAAGTAGCCTACAGCATAACCTGCAAGAAAGAGAAAGATATGGGTCAGGAGGTCAAATAGAGCAGCAGAGAAAGGTGAAAGGTGAACTGGTTCAAACCTGAGTTTAAGCAATGGCTCCATGCACAGCACCCAGTAGAAGGATTGTGATGAACTCTTCAGGGTCTGCAGGGAGGCAGGATAACACCATTTAGGAGAAAGACACTGCAGCCATTTAAAAATGATAATTTAGACATCAATTGCCTTGGCTGGTATCACATTTCTGTTAAGAGACCCATAGAGACAACACTATGATAAGTATGTGAGAGTACCTTTCTCTTCTGTTACAAAGGTGTCACAGCCGAGCTGCTTGCGGAAGTTCATTACGCTCTCAGCAGGCACAAAACCTTGTCTGGGGATTACACACACTGATGTCACTCTCAGTGGCCACACGGCAATACACACAACACACTGTCACACAACACATGGAAATGCACATTCATATAAAGTGCATATACTGGACCTGAACATTCACTACCAATGTGCCAGAGTAATCAAGACATGCTCTTCAGTCTGGGTGAATTACAATGTCATAACGTCCTTATTTTGAAGAGCAGTTGATAATACAGGCCTGCCTGAGGGTCAAGAGGATCTAGAAAACTGAAAGTACAGACAATGTTTATACCGGCGCAAACAGTTGACGATGTCTTTCCTCAGAGTGTGTGATATGCTCTGTTCTGTGTCAGCTTGTTTGTGGCAAACACTGTCCAGGGTCATGGATGAGCTGAACAGACTGTGGAGAGATGTATTACCTTTGTTAGCTTGGCAGTGGTCCTGGCGCAGCATTAAGTCATTCTTACAAGAAACTGGGCTCAACAAAAAATTATGCCCAACCGTGTCAAACTGTCATACAACTATGTGTTAGGAACACTGAGCTAGATGAAGTAAGTTTACCTGAAGAGAGTGGCATCGAGGTAGCATGAGTTGTAGTGCCCCTGGATCCCCTTCATCTTGCCCACAAGCAAAGACAAGCCTTCCGACTCAGGGATAGGAGGGACATTCTCATCGGTTTCCTCCAATGGAGTGACTGATGCAAACCATACAAAAACATGAAGTACCACTTACATAACAGAAATACAACTGATGAATGTTTTATATCTGCTCATTGGTGGTGTTTGATTCATTTTGGTTTGGTTTGAGGTGTGGTCTGCAAACCAATGCTTATAAGGCTATTATTACAATGGCATAACCTGAGATTATCTACACTGTTTATGCATGTGTTAGGAAGGACCTATACGAGTGGTGTATAAAAATAAAATAAAATAAAAAATTAATGTATGCACTCACTGACTGTAAGTCGCTCTGGATAAGAGTGTCTGCTAAATGACTAAAATGTAAAGTGTAAAATGTGTCTAACCTGGGGGGATATCTGTGGCTTTGAGGGTCTCCTTTTCAGAGGGGGGACATAGGAACCTTCCATCTGGACTGCACTTTGTTAGGGGCACAAACAAGGCTCTGCCCCCTTTACAAGTGAAATACCGCTGACCTCCATACATCCCGTCTGAGCAATTATTCACCTCATAATCCTGATGGCAAAAGCATAATGCTGAGGAATCAAATCTGATTGAGATATTGAAATCTCAGAGGAGAATAATAGGCAAGCTCAATAACATTGCTTATACAGTTCACATCTTACACTCACCAGCTCAATTCCGGCCCAGTCGTTTTTATTTTCTGAAAAGACGCCCATCCACTGGATTACCCCATATACAGTGATCCCAGTGTTGGACGTTACCTCCACGAGGGAACCCACATGAAAAGGGTGGCTTGACAGGGTTTCGGTTGGGGTGACATTCTGGTCTACGTGGTTTATATCGCTCACTTGTCGCCCACGAGATCCCATATTAGGCATGGAGTTGATACGTAACACCACCTTTCTGTTTAGACCTGGGGGGAGAAGAAGTTGAAGAGGAGGGGTAAGAATGACAGATCACATAGTTTCTGTCCTTGTCACAAGACCAATGTCATGAGACTGACCTGTGGTAAACATGTCTATCTCCATAAGAGGTATGCAGAGAGCTCAGAGCATGCAATGTACACAGATTCCAGAGCATGTGATGGATCTCTGCTGCTACATTCCAGAGCACCTGGGCCAGTTTGACCAGTTCTGTACAAAGAACCGCACTTTGCCCACTGTCTAGCCACAGGTGCTGCTCATTGCCATCCAATAACGTTTAGCATTTATATTTTAGCATTTCTTTCTGATAAGGGGGAGGCGGGGTGGAGGGGTATTTTGCTTGCAGGCGCACCAATGCGCAGCAAGTCCTAAAGTGATGATAACCATTCAAAGAATTCTGTCTTTGTGAAGCAAGTTTGAAATGAGACCCCCAAGCTACTGGGTTCTGAAAGCTGATATTATTTTCCTGGCACCATTGCTGTGCTTCTTAAAAGAAAACAAGTAAAGTATGTAATGGGTTTAAAGACTAGAAAAGCCAGGTAAATGTGTCATATTTTGTAAATAAATGCATGTAGGCATATGTGCTTGCTTACTGATCAATGAGAATGCATGGGGATTGAACACTAGCAAGTAAACATACAGTCCTGACCCTTTGAATGACTGTCTTTCCAGCGAGGGCCAAGGCCTACAGAGTACGCTGGGACAACCTGGACAATGTCTGCTGCACTGAACAGGGGAAGAGGGGCAGGCTTCTTGGACGACACTGTTTGATTAGAGTCCTGCTGAAATTGAAAGGAAACAGGACAATTAGATGACGTAAACACAATCCCAATACAGTAGCTGTGCTGAGAGTTTTTACTGGCAAGCCAGAAATACAACAAACTGCATTCGAGCAACTGCAAATTGCTCAGTGTTATTACGTTTCAGATGTTACGTAAAAGTTATGTGCTGTAACTAATCCTATAACATTATGGATCTTCCCCTGATGCCTCGATCACACCTACAGCGTCGTTGCGCAAAATGGTACGCAGCATCATCTGGATATGTGTGCAACAAAAGTTCAACATTCACCTTCTGCTACCATTCTGTCAAGCTGTCTACGCATACAGTTTGACGCATAAGTTTGATAAATCGAACATATGCACCACACAGAACACACTGCACCTGCCTCTGCAACGTAATGCTGCAAGGCAAACGCAGCGTTCCATTGGAAATTAATGTACTTCTGGTGTACCAAAATGCAATGACGCTGTCGGTGTGATCGACACTTGAGAGAGACATTCTTGTCTCCTGCTTTCACTTCCTTAAACTCATGTAAATCAATGAGAGGTTCAGGTGTACTTGACACGTACAGTTCACAGTGTCTGCCATACTGTGGAATCATTAGGCTACATTTTTATCAATGAGAGGATCAAAGACAGTAATAATTCCTGATTATTTGCTTATACATTGGACAAAATGGTGAAAGCCATTCCACTTTCTCTATGGCAGTGTCTATGCTGATATGGACTTGCATACCAGATTTATATAAGTTGCATACTCACCACAAACTCAACCTCAAAGCCCAGCATCAGCAGGTCCCCTTGGTTCTCCTTCTTGCCGATCAGCATTAGGTTCCTAACCAGCCCTGGCTGGTGACCCTTCTTGTGCTTAACTACCACCAGGTCATCCTGAGACAGCACACAGATAGCCGAAAAAGCTGGGGGTTACACAGGAGCTCCAGGCATTTGCTGGAGGGGGATACGAAGAGCCTGGGCCTGGTGGCAGGTGAGGGGGTACGTGTCCTCCATCTTCACCATGCCCCTGCACTTAGGGTTCCCACTGCTGCCACCTCCGTACAACAGTCCCATCAGCTCTCCCTTCTGCATCTCTGCCTCCACATGGCCGATACATCCTCTGGCGAAGCCATTTCTCGCCTTCCCCCATGTCACTATAAAGAACTTGTCCTTCCCTTCTCTTTTTGATTCCATCCCTATTCTAAAGTGCACAATATTCCTGCTGACAAGCAATGCAGATGTTGTGTGACTAGAAGCCACCCTGTTATGGAAAGAAGTAAATAAATTATTATTGTATCCTTCTGATCATTCACTTGTATTACGAGAATGTAAATTCAAAGCCATTCCATTGTGCTGTCACACTCAAAGCATGGCTTTAAAGACTCTAATTTATAAATAAGTGACAGATAGGTAGAGGCAAGGAATGTAAAAACACTTCCTTTTTACATTACTTGGGTATACACAGCTTTTGAAATCAATTCAGTTTAAGATGTTTTATTTGTCTTGTGACCCCCCCCCCCCCTCCCCCCCCCCCCCCAAACAATTGACCATAAAAAAAACTACTCTTTACCAGTTTTTAACATCAACATCAATCTCAGTGATATCACTTTGTAAGGGTTTCATCACATTGTTTCAACAAAATAAGATACATCTGTACTATCTGTACACACTGGCAACAATGTATTTCTAGCAATAGTCTTTTATTACTCAAATGTAATTGAGTCAATCTTACTGGCCGTTTTTCAAAGTATTTGAAGAGCAGTTACTCCAAAGTACTACACACATTCGATTGCAAGGTAAACTGAATCCTCGCCACTGTAGCTCAGAATAAGGAAGTACTTCAGCCCAGTCAACTGATACTGTAGCTCTGTGACCGAACAAGCCCGTCTTATACTGTCCTCTCTGACAGAGACAATTCAGCATGAAGATCGTGATTTTTTTTCAAGAAAATGTATTGCATCAGAGAATTCACAAATGATCATTATGATTTGGGTATACCTAGCTACATGATAGTGGTTATTAGCTAAGCAAGTACTTATTGTATCAGTCAGAGAAAATTGCAAGTTGTCAGTCACAGTGTCGCAAATCATTTATCAACACAAAGTAGCCTACTCTTATCTGAGGGGTATTTAAACTTCAATGTGGGGTAATGTTAACGTTATCACTCTTATGATCTACAATATAATATCCCCCTTCCCATGACAGAGACAGGGAATATCAGCTATGCACATAGATGTTATATATATATTTTAAACATGTATACCCTAGGCCTATTATTAGAAACAAAAACACTTAACCTGGTCATAACCTTGGTCGGTCACACTGCAAGTTGTTGCGGTGGTGCGGCAAGCTAAAAGGAGCTAGCTAGCTAATGTTAGCTAACTAACATTCATTAGCTAGCTAGCTGTGTTAGCTAGCTCGGTGAAAACTCTTGTTTGCAGGCAGTTAAACAAAATGTATTCTTCCTCTGTCACCCGCCATGTGAAAAACATATTTTAAATAATTGTTAGGCCACTATCCATGAGAAAGATTTTTGGGGCTTGACAGCTGCCCTTCTTCATCTGATGATGAAAATTCAACCCCTGCATTGTCAGTTGGAGGCGGGGCTGGGGCTTGACAGATCAAGATAAATATGTTCTTCAATTAACATATATTTTAAAATACATTCACATAAATATTCTATGATGGGCTCAAGTTGTATATTTCATAAATATATTCTGGACATACAGTACCAGTCAAACGTTTGGACACACCTACTCATTCAAGTTTTTTTTTTCTACATTGTAGAATAATAGTGAAGACATCAAAACTATGAAATAACACATATGGAATCATGTAGTAACCAAACAAGTGTTAAACAAGTCAAAATATATTTTATATTTGAGATTCTTCAAATAGCCACCCTTTGCCTTGATGACAGCTTTGCACACTTTTGGCATAAGTATTGAACCCCCTGAGTCAATATGTTAGAATCCCCTTTGGCAGTGATTACAGCTGTGAATCTTTCTGGGTAAGTCTCTTAAGAGCTTTTCACACCTGGATTGTGCAACATTTTCCCATTATTATTTTCTAAATTCTTGAAGCTTTGTCAAATCGGTTGTTGATCATGGCTAGACAACCAATTAAGTCAAAACTGTAACTCATTCACTCACTGTCTTCTTGGTAAGCAACTCCAGTGTAGATTTAGCCTTGTGTTTTAGGTTATTGTCCTGCTGAAAGGTGAATTCATCTCCCAATGTCTGGTGGAAAGAAGACTGAACCAGGTTTTCCTCTAGGATTTTGCCTGTGCTTAGCTCCATTCCATTTATTTTTTATCCTGAAAAACTCCCCAGTCCTTAGTGATTACAAGCATACCCATAACATGATGCAGCCACCACTATGCTTGAAAATATGGAGAGTGGTACTCAGTAATGCGTTGTATTGGATTTGCGCAACATAACACTTTCTATTCAGGACAAAAAGTTAATTGCTTTGCCACATTTTTTGTATTACTTTATTGCCTTGTTGCAAACAGGATGCATGTTTTGGAATATGTTTTATTCTGTACAGGCTTCCTTCTTTTCACTATCAATTAGGTTTGTGGAGTAACCACAATGTTGTTGATCTATCACAGCCATTAAACTCGGTAACTGTTTTAAAGTTACCATTAGCCTCATGGTGAATTCCCTGAGTGGGTTATTTCCGCTCCGGCAACTGAGTTAGGAAGGACGCCTGTATCTTTGTAGTGACTGGGTGTACTGATACACCATCCAAAGTGTAATTAATAACTTCCCCATGCTCAAAGGGATATTCAATGTGTGCTTTTTTTTATTTTTACCCATCTACCAAATAGGAGCCCTTCTTTGCGAGGCATTGGAAAACCTCCCTGGTCTTTTTGGCCAAATCTGTGTTTGAAATTCACTGCTTGACTGTGGGGTACAGAGATGAGGTAGCCATTCAAAAATCATGTTAAACACTATTATTGCACACAGTGAGTCCATGCAACTTATGTGACTTGTTAAGCCAAGTTCTACTCCTGAACTAATTTAGACTTGCCATAACAAAAGGGTTGAATACTTATTGACTCAAGACATTTCAGTTATTCATTAATTAATTTGTAAGAATGTTGAAAAACAATTCCAATTGGACATTATGGGGGTATTTTGTGTAGGCCAGTAAAAAAAAATCTACATTTAATCAATTTTAAATTAAGGCTGTAATGCAACAAAATGTGAAAAAAGTAAAGGGGTGTGAATATTTTGAAGGCACTGTATATTATAATACATTTGTTTTCCGTATGGGCTGGCCAGCGGCTTGAGCAGTGACATTGTCCATCACCCAGGCATATGTGGTTAGTCATCTGTGGTAGTCATCTGTCATAATTATGGTTTTGTATTATTCTCAATAATAACAGACAGTTTCATAAGATGTGTTCTCAAGCCTTTACGATACCGTTTTTGATTTTTATAGTGGCATTGAGTGGGGGTATATTGGCTTGTCAACCTTCCAATGCCAGTTTTCTATGACTTCAGCCCTTTGGCACATTCTCTACTCCAAAGAGGCCCTGGCTAGTAGGAGAATATGTGTTGTAAGGAAGGTGTTGAGCACACAGCTTAATACTTTGGGGCTGCTGATAAACATGCTAGAGAGCTAAAACCAACAATGAAAACAGAGACATGCCTTTAAAATAAGGGTTGACAGTGACACTGATATTTGAATAAGATCGAGTAACTTAATTTTTTTTATCTGGATATTTGCCATTTCAACCCATCCCACGCTGCATTGATCATTAGGAGCAGGTTTTAGTGGCTTGTTTGTGAGTCTCTGACATTCAACATTCACACATGTGAAGTGCACTCTTGGAGATATACAGTAGCTGGTGGCTATATGTATTATCTTTACCTAGACAAAACAGCAGTGACTAACAGCAAATGTCAGATTTGTAAAGAGATTGAGCGATAATGTATTTGCCTCCAACTTTTACCAAACCTTAGGCCAAACTATATTTATCTAGTTCTGCCAAGGCAAGTAGTGCCCTCTATTGGACAACCTATACTATTGTGACCTAGGCTGATGGGTATAGGCTACTCACATCTTCACACATACATGATCTGAGATTAAATTCATGTCTACCACAGGAGGTTGGTGGCACCTTAATTGGGGAGGATGGGCTCGTGGTAATGGCTGGACCGGAATCGGTGGAATGGCATCAAATACATGGTTTCCATGTGTTTGATGCCATTCCATTGACTCCATTCCGGATATTATTATTCACGGTCCTCCCCTTAGCAGCCTCCTGTGATGTCTATCACCTTTCCATTAGATCTGCCTTAATGTATACTATCATCACATTAGGAAAATCTAAAATGTTAATACATTAATAATTTAATATACATACAACTCAGATATGACTTAATCTTCTTATGTTCACATTGAAATAAAGCCATATTCTCAGAAAGCTAGGCAGAGCCAGCCACAGCACGAGGGTCAACAATGCCCCTAATGATGTCGTTGGTTCTCTGGACACCCTGCACCAGGGACAGCAGGCCCACCCTGTGGACAGTGTGTCCTTTCAGACGCAACACCTTCACATCCTCCTCCAGGAACTCAGCTGAGGGGAGACATTTGTGAAGATATGAATTAGAAAAAGTGAGTTGAAGTTTCAAACCATTTCAAAGCTGATTTCCCACCCACAATTATGTGGAGATAAAGAAAACATCAGAAATGCTCACAGTCCACCAGGAGGCTGCTCGGCTGAAGCTGGGGATGGAGTCGTCCCAGGGATATACTATCATTCAGATTTTTGTGGTATGATAAAATATTAATCAAGACCTGAAACAAAAAGCACAATGAAAGGTAATGAAATTACAAGGACATTTTACTTATAGACAACAACAGGCATGAACATTATGTGTGTGTGTGTGTATATATATATATTTTTTTTTTACATGGCAGACCTGGGTGATACCACTGAGGCTGTGCTCTCCGTTAGAAGATCCCAGGGCCACATAGGATCCACATTTACCTAGAGACGGTATCACAATTGTGGGCATTATAAATGACAGAGGCCGCTTGCCTGGCTGGACCCTGTTCCTCTGCAAAGAAAACAAGTGTTGATATAGGATATTTTTACAAAATTGTTGTTTCTTTATCTGGGGCTAAGATTGAAAGTGTAGAATGTTATGTTAATACATTATACAGCCTAAAGGTGCAATGTACTGTGGTATGTTGTTACCAGGTTGGATATTAACATTCCCTTGGTTTTAATTGGCCAGGAGAAGTCCACGATCTGGCTGTTCAGGAGAATGCCTGAAGGGGTTAAAATTCTACTTCCAAAGGGCCTGTTCAGTGAGCTGAAACATAAAAAATGAACAAGTGTAAGACTTAAGCTATCCCACCCAATATCCATCATGCTAATGTAAAGGTGCAGACAGTAACTGTTATCTCCTTCAGCTAAGGTCTATTATCACAGCACCTGGTGACAGACACAATGACGTCATCGGGACCCATGACCACCACCTGGCTGGCCACAGCTCCACTCGGCAGGTCATATAGAGTAGAGTAGTATCTGGGAGGAGACGCCTGCGAGTCACTGATCAACTGACGGAGCACTGCAGCCTGTGGCTTGCTTTAACCAAGACACAGATACATAAGTATTCATCCCCCTTGGCGTTTTTCCTATTTTGTTGCATTACAACCTGTAATTTAAATGGATTTCCATTTGGATTTCATGTAATGGACATACACAAAATAGTCTAAATTGGTGAAGTGAAATGAAAAAAATAACTTATTTCAAAAAATTTGAACAAATAAATAAAAGTGGTGCGTGCATATGTATTCATCCTTTGCTATGAAGCCCCTAAATAGATCTGGTGCAACCAATTACCTTCAGAAGTCACATAATTAGTTAGATTGTACACAGATTGACTTTATTTAAGTGTCACATGATCTCAGTAATTATATATATATATATATATATATATATATATATATATATATATATATATATATATATATATATATACACACACACACACACACACACACCTGTTCTGAAAGGCCCCAGCATCTGCAACACCACTAAGCAAGGGACACCACCAAGCAAGCGGTACCATGAAGACCAAGGACCTCTCCAAATAGGTCAGGGACAAAGTTGTGGAGAAGTACAGATCAGGGTTGGGTTCTAAAAAAATGTCTGAAACATCCCACGGCGCATCATTAAATCCATTATGAAAAAATTGAAAGAATATGGCACCACAACAAACCTGCCAAGAGAGAGCTGCCCACCAAAACTCATGGACCAGGCAAGGAGGGCATTAATCAGAGGCAACAAAGAGACCAAAGATAACCCTGAAGGAGCTGCAAAGCTCCACAGTGGAGATTGGAGTATCTGTCTATAGGACCACTTTAAGCCGTACACTCCACAGAGCTGGGCTTTACGGAAGAGTGGCCAGAAAAAAGCCATTGCTTAAAGAAAAAAATAAGCAACCACGTTTGGTGTTCGCCAAAAAGCATGTGGGAGACTCCCCAAACATATGGAAGAAGGTACTCTGGTCAGATGAGACTAAAATTGAGCTTTTTGGCCATCAAGGAAAACGCTATGTCTGGCGTAAACACAGAACCTCTCATCACCCCGAGAACACCATCCCCACAGTGAAGCATGGTGGTGGCAGCATCATGCTGAGGGGATGTTTTTCATCGGCAGGGACTGGGAAACTGGTCAGAATTGAAGGAATGATGGATGGCGCTAAATACTGGGAAATTCTTGAGGGAACCCTGTTTTAGTCTTCCAGAGATTTGAGACTGGGACGGAGGTTCACCTTCCAGCAGGACAATGACCCTAAGCATACTGCTAAAGCAACACTCAAGTGGTTTAAGGGGAAACATTTAAATGTCTTGGAATGGCCTAGTCAATGCCCAGACCTCAATCCAATTGATAATATGTGGTATGACTTAAAGATTGCTGTACACCAGCGGAACCCATCCAACTTGAAGGAGCTGGAGCAGTTTTGCCTTGAAGAATGGGCAAAAATCCCACTGGCTAGATGTGCCAAGCTTCTTATTTCACAAGAAAAAATATTTTGCATCTTCAAAGTCGTAGGCATGTTGTGTAAATCAAATGATACAACCCCCCAAAAAAATCTATTTTAATTCCAGGTTGTAAGGCAACAAAATAGGGAAAATGCCAAGGGGGTGAATACTTTCGCAAGCCACTGTACACATCAGAAGAGAAGACAATTGTTCACAGAAATTCCTGTCATTGCATTTCAGAAGGACTTAAATTGCATGGCTAATCTACTTAGAACATGGCGAGGAAGTGAATGCACGCTTGTTAATGTTTACCTTAGCATCTTGGAGACGAGTGCAGAGACTGACGGGGTATACACAGGGTCTCCGAGCCCACTGGCCATAGCCAGGGCCGCTTTCAGTGACTTCAAAATGAATACAATACACTTTTATTAGGGGAACCTTACCTGCACACTGTAAATAACATGGGTCTCACTTCAGAGCTTGAGATACAGTACCTCAGCAATCCAGTGGTTGTTCCCAGTTGTACTATTCCCCTTGAGGTGGAAGTCCTCCAAAATGTTGAGGGCTGAGATCAGAGCAGCACCAATAGAAGGGGGAGGTGGCACTAGAACTCGAAATCCTGAGGGAGGTGTTGCCAGGTAATATTGTTTAGACCTGAGGAGGCTGGTGAGGGGAGGATGGCTCATCATAATGGATGGAATGGAGTGAATTGTGTCAAACTCATGGAAAACCAGGTGTTTGTGTTTGATACAATTCATTATGTTCCAGCCATTACTATGAGCCTGTCCTCCTACCCATTTAAAGTGCCACCAGGCACCACTGGTGTAGACATAATATTATGTAGACAAATGCAAGTAATCCCAACATAATGTAGGATTTCCTTGTTTGTAGGCTACTTTCTATAAAGAGTATGAAGTATGACTACGTTTACCCTGATACAGGCCTTCAATTGGCTGCTCTATGACTGCACTGTAGTTGCTGAGATCCTCCTTGGTTAGAACTCCTCCATTTACTTGCACCTAAAACACAACACTGGTCAAATCTGTGTATGATTCAATGCCATTTACTGAGGGCTATGTTCTTAACTAACACATTTATTTACCTCATTGGCCATTTCCTGTGTTAGAGTCCCACTGTAGAATTCTGACACCCCAGCCTCCAGGACAGCAGCCAGACTGGGTGTTTTCATAAGAGAGCCGGGGGACAGAGCATGGCCTCCTGGCAAGAACATGTCCCTGAAGCGCAATGACATATTCTGACCTTTCACCTTGGTTATGGCCTCTGCTGCAGGGTTAGACAAACATCAAAAGTCTCCTGGTGAAAACCTGCAATTGGTCTAGTCCTGTAATGAGGCTTTTATACAGATTCTACATGCATGAGAAGTAAAACAGTAAGAAAAAAGACTTGGGATCATTGTGAATCACTCCTTACCAAATCTGTGAGATACATTAAAGCCGTTTCTGGCTACATTGGCAGCCCTGGTGACAATATCCTCCCATGACAGTCTGAGGTGAAACAATAACAACCATAGGCTAGTACACGCTTCTGAACACAAACATGAAATTGCACATAACAAATGACAACACCTCACCTTCCATACAGTTTATGGGCTTGGTACAACCCTCTGAGCAAGCCTGGCACACCTACAACCAGACCTGGCTGGATGGTTAAGGAAAGATGTTACAGTTTCAACATCTCTTTTGAAGCCTCAGTGTACATGTTGAATGACTATCTGAGACTAGCCACACAATTCGAGATAATAGTTCAACACATCATTGTGTTATCCTACAAATGAAATATCTAAAATAAGTTATGTATTTTTACTCATACACTGTTGTCATACAGCACATCACCTTTAGCTCCGGGTCAATTTGCAGGATCTCCTCCTTGATTCCAGAGGGTGCCGTTTCCTGGAAATTAATCACCTTCCTTATATTCTTTCGGATGTCATGAACCAGCATCACCCCTCCCCTACAGACAAAGACATGAATGAAGTTGGGTGGACCACGGATGTCCTGTCCATCCACATGATCACCTCTGGACAATCATTATGCCACATAAATTGTGCACTTGCTGTTAACTTTCTCAAATGCAATAGACACTTACCCGCCAATACCTGACGCGTGTGGATGGACTATTCCCAGGCACAGGGCGGCAACAATGGCAGAATCCACACTGGAGCCCTGATCATTCAGCACCCTACGACCAAGCTCTGTACAGCGTTCATGGTCCGTCACCAACACACTCGCTCTGAAGACCTGCTGACCCCATTATAGTAAGGATGGGGATGAAAATAAGGTAATAAGTAAAAGTTGTTCTGAATAGCTTCTATACATTTTTCTAAGTCAGTGGGAGAGGGTGTACATACCTCATTTGTCCCTAGATAAATCTGCAGGACCATAGCGGTGGTGACTGCTATGGCAATGGTGAGAGAAGCAGCATAGATGGGTATCATGCCATCCTGCCAAGGGCCACACCTACTTGGTCCCCCAGACAGGGGGTCCTTATCCGTCTCTCTAAAGGAGGACAAGCTTAGATCAGCCAGGTTAGGGTTCTGGCTCCCAGAGGCTAGATTTTTCAGGGGCAATTCTTTTGGGAGACTTTTGAGGTCTGGGGCAAGGCTGAGGCCACCATGGCCATGGAGACCTGGAGAGGGAGAGATTTTAGACCCTGTAATTAGAGTGGAGGTGGGCTAAAAAGCTATGTGTGGCAATTTGTGGTTGATACAAGCAATATTTGACTTGACATCAGGTAAGTAGCGTTGAGTTGCTGCCAAACCAACTACCTGTGTTTCGGTTATGCTCTTTCTGCAAGTTCCCATTTTGCCCTTTGGGCAATGTGTCATCCACAGTCAACTGAGGTAAGCCCTCAAAGCTCTTGTAACCAACTGGTGATTGACTGCTACTAAGTTTAGTCTCAGGACTCACATCCATCTTCCCTATGTTCACACAGAGATAAGCACATGATGTACAATTAGACAGACACAGGACTACCCTCTCCCTTCCCATCTGATGACTGGCAAACCTGCAAGTCAGCATGGTGAAAAAAAGCTATACAATAAAGGTACAACACAGGTGTTGGAGCAGTAGAATTTAGAGATGCACAAAAACAATTCCACTATGTTACTAATCTAGAGGAACAGAAAGTATAACACAGTTTTATGAGCTCTCCATTGCTAGCTTCCCTCTTACCTGACCTTCCCCTTGAACATACAACACCTCAATAATGACAAACAGGGGTTAAGAATTACTCAGCCAATCAGATATGCCAATTAAGTAACCAATTGATCAGCCATTTAAAAAAAAAAAGAGTAGTATACACAGAGCTGTTTCTCTGTAACCTTTCACATATTGTTTCGCATAACATTGATGAATTGGATAACATTAGTAATGCCTTTTGGTCATCAAATAGCCCTGATAATGCGGTTCTGACACTATAATGGAATAAAGGAACAATGGTGCAATCACGTGGGTCATCCTTTTTTATTGCTATAGGAAATATTTTTTACCCACACACAACAATCTGACAAAATACATACATGCAATGATACAAATACCTTTTAATTTCCCTCTACATATGTTTTAGCAATTTTTTTGCATAGGCGTTGCACAGAAATGTGCATGCCACTGACAGTTTTGCCATAGCCACACACTATCAAGCCTACAAACATCTTCATTCTCTTGTCATATACAGTACAGATTCAAAAGTAATTTTTAGCTGCCAGTGAACAGGTGACAATTCCGAGTAACAAGCTTAGTGTTTTGTATCATATGGTGTAGATAGGATTCATTTGGGAAATACCTTCATTTACACAAGAGTGAACTCTGCAAAATGTGTTTGAATTATGACTTTATTTCGCTGGAAATCTGCTGCCAATCAATTTATGTTGCATTTGTGAAGGTGTCTGAGCATGTCTGTCTGTGTGTGTGTGTGTGTGTGTGTGTGTGTGTGTATGGTGTGAGCAGATTAAAGGTTCCTGTTGCTCTTGTGTTAAAAGTGCTCCCTGGTGCTGGGTGTTCAGTGGCTGAAGTTGCGGTGGCCTGGCTGTTGGAGGTAGGTGGTGCGCGTGCGTGAGGAGTGGCGTTGAGCTCGCTGGCGGACACAGTTCTGCCGCTGGATGCAGCTCCGTGTGAGGTGGCGGCGGTCCACCAGGGTCTGAGCCCTCTGGACACGGGCAACCTGTGTGACCTTAGCCAGCTGTCCAGCCATGGACACTGATCCACGAATGATCCGGCTGGGGCTGGTGGCGCCTCTTTGGACTGGGACCTCTGGTTCTGACATCCTGCAGAGAAACACATGCTTGTAAGCCCACAAATGCACACCCACAACTGTTCACATATACACGCAGACACTGAAACATTTGGAATCAGTGGCAGAACACGGATATTGTCAAATGCTTTGACAACTTCCTGTGTCAAACGCACAAAAGTATTTCTCTCACCTGACGCCAGTTTCTGAGATGGGTTCAGTCTCCTCAGTGACAGGTGGGTTGGAGGGACATCTGTAGATAGACGTGTTGGCACACTCCACTACCTGCTCCTCCAATGGGTTCACTTCATTGACAGCTTCTGTAGAGCAACAAGAGAGCCAGCGTTATCCATATTTCGTCCAGCAGAGCACACCGATCCACAGTATGTAGCTACAGTTCAACCACTACTTCCTGTGAGATACTGACCTTGATGGTTGATCAGAAGCCACCCTTCCTCAAGCATTTCTGCAGGGTTGGATGTCCTCTGGTCTGTAGGGATGTCCTCATCTCTTCCAAAAAACAGACTAGTGAGCCTTCGGAACATGACTGGGTTCTGTTCTGTGTGGCGGTTGCTAAGGAAGTGTTGCCTCGGACTCTGGGTCACAGACTTGGTTGTGATTTGGTGTTATGAGGTCGTTGCCTGTGTTCTCTTTCTTGTCCTTTCCTCTCCTTTCTTTGGCAGGAAATTCAGACTTAGCAGCAGAGGCTTTGGGTGTCTAAATACTTCTCACAAAGACCTGGTTGATCTGGAGGTGAGAAAAACATTGTCATAAAGTCTGGGTCCCATAACTCAAACCTGCTGTAACAACATTGTCTTATTCTTGTCATTTTGCATCCTTGGACCTTTTTGAAAATAATGGTAATTATTAATCAATCCCCCAGTGATGAATTAGGAGTGATTTCTGGACCCCACACATCCATACTGGCCCATGTTGATTAATGCAACCCAAGGTCAGCTGACCATGGTGGTCATTGATTGGCCAATGAGGCCTTTATGAATATAAGGGCCTGAATAACCAGTATCCCCTGCAGCGCTCCATTGTCAGATCCCATCTGCTATTAAACCTACAGGGGAGGGGCTACGCTATACTCTGCAGCATATAGTTTCAACCTCATAGCATCCTCTCAATGCAATGGCTCTCAGCATAGGACACATTTTTTAATGTTATTTTTCTGATACAGCTGTTTGTTGGCAAACGGCTATATTTGCCGGTCTCTGAATTTGCTTTTGTCATGCACACAGGGAATCCCTCCACCCCAAGCAGAGAAAGCATGGTTGCTTATGATAAACCACATTCAGCTTATGAGAACTGTTTTGGGATAGATAAGCGAGCAGATTTGCAGATCTAGGGGCATGAGGCCCATGGCTGCAGAGTTCACTGTGGTATTATGTGCTCACCTTGTATTCTCTTCATAACCACTGACCTAGAATCCTAACAAACGGCAGGATCCTTTTAGATACAGTAAGTGACACAAGTATTTGATCCCCTGCTGATTTTGTACGTTTGCCCACTGACAAAGAAATGATCAGTCTATAATTTTAATGGTAGGTTTATTTGAACAGTGAGAGACAGAATAACAACAACAAAAAATCCAGAAAAACGCATGTCAAAAATGTTATAAATTGATTTGCTTTTTAATGAGGGAAATAAGTATTTGACCCCTCTGCAAAACATGACTTAGTACTTGGTGGCAAAACCCTTGTTGGCAATCACAGAGGTCAGATGTTTCTTGTAGTTGGCCACCAGATTTGCACACATCTCAGGAGGGATTTTGTCCCACTCCTCTTTGCAGATCTTCTCCAAGTCATTAAGGTTTCGAGGCTGACGTTTGGCAACTCCCTCCACAGATTTTCTATGGGATTAAGGTCTGGAGACTGGCTAGGCCACTCCAGGACCTTAATGTGCTTCTTCTTGAGCCACTCCTTTGTTGCCTTGGCCGTGTGTTTTGGGTCATTGTCACGCTGGAATACCCATCCACGACCCATTTTCAATGCCCTGGCCGAGGGAAGGAGGTTCTCACCCAAGATTTGACGGTACATGGCCCCGTCCATCGTCCCGTTGATGCGGTGAAGTTGTCCTGTCCCCTTAGCAGAAAAACACCCCCAAAGCATAATGTTTCCACCTCCATGTTTGACGGTGGGGATGGTGTTCTTGGGGTCATAGGCAGCATTCCTCCTCATCCAAACACGGCGAGTTGAGTTGATGCCAAAGAGCTCCATTTTGGTCTCATCTGACCACAACACTTTCACCCAGTTCTCCTCTGAATCATTCAGATGTTCATTGGCAAACTTCAGACGGGCATGTATATGTTCTTTCTTGAGCAGGGGGACCTTGCGGGCGCTGCAGGATTTCAGTCCTTCACGGCATAGTGTGTTACCAATTGTTTTCTTGGTGACTATGGTCCCAGCTGCCTTGAGATCATTGACAAGATCCTCCCGTGTAGTTCTGTGCTGATTCCTCACCATTCTCATGATCATTGCAACTCCACGAGGTGAGATCTTGCATGGAGCCCCAGGCCGAGGGAGATTGACAGTTATTTTTTTTCTTCCATATGCGAATAATCGCACCAACTGTTGTCACCTTCTCACCAAGCTGCTTGGCGATGTTCTTGTAGCCCATTCCAGCTTTGTGTAGGTCTACAATCTTGTCCCTGACATCCTTGGAGAGCTCTTTGGTCTTGGCCATGGTGGAGAGTTTGGAATCTGATTGATTGATTGCTTCTGTGGACAGGTGTATTTTATACAGGTAACAAGATGAGATTAGGAGCACTCCCTTTAAGCGTGTGCTCCTAATCTCAGCTCGATACCTGTATAAAAGACACCTGGGAGCCAGAAAGCTTTCTGATTGAGAGGGGTCAAATACCTATTTCCCTCATTAAAATCAAAGCAATTTATAACATTTTTTATATGCGTTTTTCTGGATTTTGCTGTTGTTATTCTGTCTCTCACTATTCAAATAAACCTACCATTAAAATTATAGACTGATCATTTCTTTGTCAGTGGGCAAACGTACAAAATCAGCAGGGGATCAAATACTTTTTTCCCTCACTGTAGCACCATTCCATTCTACATTCAAAGTACCTAGTGACACACGCATAATCAAAGTCCTTATGAACTGTATGGACTTGGAAATCTAATCTGCAAGACTGAGGAGAAATGGGGTGATGAGGACAGTTGATATTCAGGCATTCTACCACAGATCAGTGTCCTATGGACTTGATGCTGGCAGCTACCAATGATGTATATAAACCCTGGATTGCTGATGCTATGTATTGGCCAATGAGAGGCTTTAAAGCTACCGGTCGGCCATATTGGCACTCCTCAGAAGAAGCAGTCACAGACAGAATGGGAAACCCAGACACGCCACAGGGGCTATAAAGCTGAAGCATCTGTTTAAAGCGTTTTCTCACTACAAAATATGGTAATGAGGAAGTCCAGTCGCGGGTAGTGGGAGAGGATAGAGGAGTATTTCTGTCTGTAATCAAGCCCTTTTGTGGGGAAAAAAATCATTCTGATTGGCTGGGCCTGGCTCCCCAGTGGGTGCCCTCCCAGGCCCACCCATGGCTGCACCAGTCATGTGAAATCCATACATTAGGGCCTAATGAATTCATTTCAATTGACTGATTTCCTTATATGAACTGTAACTCAGTAAAATCTTTGAAATTGTTGCATTCATATTTTTGGTCAGTATATTTTCGAAAATTATACTTAATAATAAATATTCAAAAACATTTTCCTTTATTTGTATGTTTAATTCACATAATATCATTTAAAATTATGCATTAAGGTGTCTGTAATAGAATAAACGTGGCAAAAACAAATGTAGACACTAATAAATTCATTTTTATAGCTTTCAAACTATTTTTTACGACGAAGGGGGAGTACCAAGATGGAGGCGTGGTGGCTCCAAAACAGCGCCCCGTTAGTCATCTAGTGTATATATATATATCATTGGCAGCTACACAGCTGAGCAAATATGCGGCCTATGGCAGTGGCTTGACAAAAACAAAACATCGTCCCTGAATGCGTCAGATGTGTATGCAACTGACATCATTATTCAAAACCTAAACAACAGCTTGAGCAGAGTGGACGAGGGACGAGGCTGGGATACCACTGAAAGACTAAATAAACCATTTCACGATGACAAAGAAAACCTGAACGTTAGCCTTATATCAACAGAGAAAGAACTGAAATTAATAACTGGATATGAAAGCTAGGCTATAGCCTACTCCTTTGGTGCAAGTGACATAACACCAAAGTCTGGTCTGAAATTGGGGCAGTTGCAATGACAGCCAGCGGTAGTTCAGCATCGAAAGACTGGATAATAATAGAACATCATTAAATATGTCTATCTCCTTTTTGGAAAGACGCCCCTCTTGCATTCATGTTAGAGCTGGCCTAGAGGCAAATAAAACGTACCTATATTCGTAGAATATATCCCAGTTTGAGTAGGACATTCTGTTAACCCCAAAAGTGTATTTGAAGAGGTTTTGTAACCGATTCCTTAATTAATGCGTTTTCCTTTGATGAGGCATCGGTTTATAACTGCAACTCTGCACAATTTTTCCAAAGATTTGCATCTGTTCTTGATTCCCTGTCTGGTCTTTGCAACTGTGTCTTTCCAAATGTAATCAAAACAGCTGATCGAGATATCACAGCAACGGTAGCACCACCTCTTCCCCCTCCTATTCGAGGTTTACAACCAATCACGCAGTTAAAAAAGATGCGGGTCTGCCCCTCATTTTGTGCAGACCTACAATGGCTTATTGTCCCTTTATGTTAAAAGACTTGCATTTGCAGCAGTGTTGTCTAGGCTTGAGGTGATTACCTTCAATAAAAATAGTTTGTTAAATTAACAGTTATTATTAGTGATAAAATACTCACACCAACACCTCTGCAAAAGGACCAGCAGCAACCTTTGAAGGCTCTCTCTGTCGTCCACTCACGAGTCTAATACATTTTTTATTAGGCCTATGCATCTAGATTAGCCCTATTATTGCATAAGTGCTTACGTATTTTCATTATTAGGCTATATTCACCTTTTTTAAAACGTCATAATTAGAATAATTTGTCAACATTCTTGGTTATTTAAGTATTTCTCAATTTCTTTCAAGAATTCTCATACATAGTAAACATAATCCCTTTACCCATTGAAAAGTTCTAAAGCTATGGTAGGCCGCGCGATGTATCGAATTGATGATAGTTATAAAGAGTGTTACAAAGTATACAACCAACAATGTATTCAATTCCCTTTCGCGCACTTGATTTGACACAGTGAGGGGGAGGGGATCAAACGGTTGTGGGACTGGGACAGGGTATCCTACTGTAGCTTTCCAGACTAGGGCGGGATCTAATTTGAAAGTCGCATTTACAAGCCAGTGAAGACCTCGCCCCTCCACTCTCGATTTCAGAGAGAGAGAAACGATGTGTGCGTTCGTAAATTCCCTCTGGCTATCTACTCCGATTTCAGAGCACTCGACTGAGTGTGCAAGAGCGCAGATTAACTGAGAAATTTATGAACGCACAACACCCTTGAATATGACCAGTGTCATTAAAGGTCTGCAGAAACACGTAATAACATTGCTATAGTCACCAAGGCTTTCGATAAAATGAAAACAGCCTAACCAGCTCTGCTAGTGCAGGTAAAATGGTCAGAGTGAGGTGTTCTCTCATTTGTGTCTGGAAGTAGCTAGCCAACTTTAGCCAGTTAGCTTGGGTGCCTGCCATTGTGAGCCAGAAAACTTGGATCAAACCTACTTACTCCTTGGCCAGAGCTTCCAGTGTGCACTCTGAACGCTCAGAGAATGAAAAGCTCTGAATTTATGAAAGGACAATCTGATAAAGCTCCGAATTTACCAAAGCCCAGAACGCACTCTGAGCGCACTCAGGCACTCCAGAGTGGATTTGCGAACACACCCTATGTAGATGTCAGATAGGTGCTGTGTCAATAGATGAGGGGATATGGAGGCCTGATGGCCCGTTTGTGTTAGCTGAACTCATATTCGTTTTTTATATAGGCCTATATAAATATTTGATATTGTCTCCATATCCATTGCATTGGGATTTGGTCAACTGTTTCCATGATTACAGTTAGGTGCTAGTATGCTACTTACACAGTCAGCAGTATTTTAAACAAAAATAGTTCCTCAACCAAAGACACTCGTATGTAGGTATGTAGTTCTGCAGCAACTCTGTCAATTGGTGTCACTGTTTTTATTTCACTTTGTCACAGCAAAGTCTGGGTGACTTTCTCATTAGCCACACACACACACACCAGTGGCGGTCGGTGCCATTTAAGATGAGGGAGGATTATTTTATTTTTTAATGAGCATGGCCTGATTTCTACTACAGCATATTGGATGACTGTCATTCATATTCCATTCACCCAGCTCAATGTAACATCTATAGGTTTAGGCTACTACATGATACTTGAGTTTTCCCTATACCCATCATGCGGTTGCTACAACCTAGTCTATAAATTAAAGTTTACAAAGTAAACAGGTTGAGAGAAATTTGAGTAATTAAGGTGACAGACATTGACACATTCAATACAGCTTTGCACACTCTTGCCTGCATCGAGCTGATCTAGGATGTAATCCTTAGTCCAACAGTTGCAAACAAGAGTTTCTATTGGACAAATTCAGGTATGTTTATCCCCGTTTCGTTCCATTTGCTTTCGTTTAAGAAAAGTGTTTCAACAGAATCGGTGGAATGAATACAACCCTGATAACACGCAAACACAGTTCACTTTCATTGCAGCTACATACAAACAGCATGATCCCTTTGATAATTTTATAATTCCTTCTCGCATCTACGCGTTCTCCTCCTCTCACTTTTTCCCTTCGCTTGTGGGCAGACTTTAGTTCACAACAGGTGTCTGTGACCAGGCGAAAAAACCTTCAAACTGCTAACTGCTACACACAGCCTACATTTGTTGTCACCATATTAGCTAACGTCATAGACAACATAGCTACTAGAACTAACGCATTAGTAAACCCGCTACAATCATGCAGTACAGTGTACAGTCAGCAAGCAGTTTAGCAGTTACACCGGTGGGCCCCAGTGGCAATAAATTAATAAAACCAAAAGCTTACCTTGACTTGGAAGAGTTCCAGTGTTGGATAGCCAGCTAGCTAACATAGCATCCCTCTCTGTTTGAGCCGGGTGTTTGAGTAGGCTAACTAGCTAGCTGCATTCGCTAGATAAGTAAGTGAAAGTGAAAAAAAATACAACAAAATATAGCTAGCGCTCTCTCTCTCTTGCTTCTCCTTAATCTTTGAAGAAATGAATTTGTTCAAAACTGTTCAACTATTGTCTTTCTCTCTCTTTGTGTCAACTACTCACCACTTTTTATGCACTGCAGTGCTAGCTAGCTGTACCTTATGCTTTCAGTACTAAATTAATTATCTGATCCTTTGATTAGGTGGACAACATGTCAGTTAATGCTGCAAGAGCTCTGATAGGTTGGAGGACGTGGAAGTTGTCATAATTACTGTGTAAGTCTATGGAAGGGGGTGAGAACCACGAGCCTCCTAGGTTTTGTATTGATGCCAATGTACCCAGAGAAGGACAGAAACTAGCTGTTCTCTGGCCACACCATGGTGCTACCATACAGAGTGCGGTTGAGGCTACTGTAGATCTTAATTGCAAAACAGTGTGTTTTAATATGTTATTTGGTGACGTGAATATATTTAGCATAGTTTTATCTAAAATGGATAACTTTTTTAATGTTTCACTATTTATATTTTTATGAAATTCACTGAGCAGGGTTTGGTCCTCCCCTTCCTCCTCTGAGGAGCCTCCACTGTGTCACACACACACACACACACACACACACACACACACACACACACACACAGGGCCGGATTAAGAAATCATAGGCCCAGGGGCTTAGTTTTTTTCTCCTCCAGGCACACCATAATTTTCTGTAAACAAATCTGTGCACCAAGATGCAATTCGATGCGTGGTAAATGTACTGTTGAAGAAAAAGCCCATTTATAATAAAGCCATAATAACGTTTGCCATGTGGTATAGGCTACAGTTGAGCAGAGGCGTTTTTAGGATTTCCACACATGGGGATGTATTTTTTGCTGGATTTTATTTTATTTTTTGCCTTTTAAAAAAGCATTTCATGCAACTCTAAGTCACTTACATGACAGAAGAAATTAAACTGAATTTTGTTTTATACCACACAAATGATCGACATGAGTGGCTACTCTGACTGACAAACAGAGATCAATTCAATTCAAACAAACAATAGCCCAGGCCAATGAAGTGACACATAGATTGTACAATATTAGGAGGAAATATATATACAGTATATACATAGACAGTACCAGTCAAAAGTTTGGACACACCTACTCATTCCAGGGTTTTTCTTTATTTTTACTATTTTCTACATTGTAGAATAATAGTGAAATCACCAAAACCACGAAAGAACACATATGGAGTCATGTAGTAACCAAAAAAGTGTTAAACAAATCAAAATATATGTTTTATTTGAGATTCTTCAAAGTAGCCACCATTTGCCTTGATGACAGCTTTGCACACTCTTGGCATTCTCTCAACCAGCTTCATGTGGTAGTCACCTGGAATGCATTTCAATTAACAGGTGTGCCTTGTGGAATTTCTTTGAGCCAATCAGTTGTGTTGTGACAATGTAGGGTTGGTATACAGAAGATAGCCCTATTTGGTAAAAGACCAAGTCCATATTATGGCAAGAACAGCTCAAATAAGCAAAGAGAAACGACAGTCCATCATTACTTTAAGACATGAAGGTCAGTCAATCTGGAAAATGTCAAGTGCAGTCGCAAAAACCATCAAGCGCTATGATGAAACTGGCTCTCATGAGGACCGCCACAGGAAAGGAAGACCCAGAGTTACCTCTGCTGCAGAGGATAAGTTCATTAGAGTTACCAGCCTCTGAAATTGCAGCGCAAATAAATGCTTCACAGAGTTCAAGTAACAGACACATCTCAACATCTACTATTCAGAGGAGACTGTGTGAATCAGGCCTTCATGGTCGAATTGCTGCAAAGAAACCACTACTAAAGGACACCAATAATAATAAGAGACTTGCTTGGGCCAAGAAACACAAGCAATGGACATTAGACCGGTGGAAATCTGTCCTTTGGTCTGATGAGTCCAAATTTGAGATTTTTGGTTCCAACCACTGTGTCTTTGTGAGACGCAGAGTAGGTGAACGGATGATCTCCGCATGTGTGGTTCCCACCGTGAAGCATGGAGGAGGAGGTGTGATGGTGCTTTGCTGGTGACACTGTCAGTGATTTATTTAGAATTCAAGGCACACTTAACCAGCATGGCTAACACAACATTCTGCAGCGATACGCCATCCCATCTGGTTTGTGCTTACATTTTACATTTTAGTCATTTAGCAGACGCTCTTATCCAGAGTGACTTACATTTAGTGAGTGCATACATTTTTCATACTGGCCCCCCTTGTGAAACGAACCCACAACCCTGGCGTTGCAAGCGCTATGCTCTACCAACTGAGCTACAGGGGACTATCATTAGTGGGACTATCATTTGTTTTTCAACAGGACAATGACCCAACACACCTCCAGGATGTGTAAGGGCTATTTGACCAAGAAGGAGAGTAATGAAGTGCTGCATCAGATGACCTGGCCTCCACAATCACCCGACCTCAACCCAATTGAGATGGTTTGGGATGAGTCGGACCGCAGAGTGAAGGAAAAGCAGCCAACAAGTGCTCAGCATATGTGGGAAATCCATCAAGACTGTTGGAAAAATATTCCAGGTGAAGCTGGTTGAGAGAATGCCAAGAGTGTGCAAAGCTGTCATCAAGGCAAAGGGTGGCTACTTTGAAGAATCTCAAATATAAAATATATTTTGATTTGTTTTACACTTTTTTGGTTACTACATGATTCCATATGTGTTATTTCATAGTTTTGATATCTTCACTATTATTCTACAATGTAGAAAGTAGTAAAAATAAAGAAAAACCCTTGAATGAGTAGGTGTGTCCAAACTTTTGACTTATACTGTATATCATAGGGTACAGTAGGCTACTAAATATAATTTCCAGTGGCACACTGACCTAATGATGAAGAGGAAGCCATAGGCTACTCGTGGTGATGGCCGGTGCGCTCGTGCCAATAGCCTATCTCAAGATGAGCTAAAAACAGTGCTGCTGTTAGCAAAAAATTAGGAGTTGTTGATAACCATTTTTTGGTTCTACAGACAGATTAATCTTCTCTTTTCAGCAGTAGGCATTTGCTTTCCAAGCTGTACGTTTTTCCCACGATTGTATTTTGAAATCTGCTAAAGGCAAACTGACAACAGCAACCAACCAGAGAAATATAATCCACTGATGGTAATTCCCATTCAAGTCAGGACTGGCATCCATTGCTAGTCTACCCATGTGTTTAACAGTCAAATTGCCACTGTAAGAGGTTACAAAACCCTTCTATGGATTTTATGTCCATGGCCACAACCCAACAAACTGTAGACTATTATTTGGCATGCATGCTGCCCAAACTGCAGTCTTCCCGACTGTAGGTATACCGGTAACTGCCAAAATAAAGGAAACACTTGAGTAAACCCGGGATACAAAGTATATGTTCTGGTGTGAGATGCATTTTCCTGCCATGGTTTAGGTCCACTTGTAGAATCTATGCCCAGGCGTATTGAAGCTGTTCTGGCAGCTTGTGGTGGCCAACACCCTTTTAAGACACTTTATGTTGGTTTTTCCTTTTTTGGCAGATGTGCTCGTGATAACTCTTAATCCACAGTTATTTTTTATGAACTATTTATACTCTGTGACAAAATTATTCTATTTGGTGTATGTTGAACATTGAGAGCGGGCTCCTGTGGTTGGATAAACAATTATTATAATACAACAAAATAACAGCCATAGGGGGCCCAGCCCCTGACTCACACAATTGACCAGTCACATTTATTTATTATGCAGTTTATTGTTTAATTTTTTATTAATCAGTTATCCAATCAAGGCAGAGCCCCCCAGTTACCCACGTGGGCCCCCTACCTCCTCTCCTCCCCCATCTGATGATTAGCAGAGCGACAGCAGCAGGCTGTCTACACTCATTGAGAGCAGGCTCCTGAGTCCTCCTGTGGTTGGTGGTTGCAGTAAAAAAAATACAAAATACATACTACATATATAATATATACAGCACATATTTCCTTTATAAAAAATGTGTAAAAAATATGTTTTTTTGTGTGGTTTTTTTGGCTTCCTCTTGGGCCTCTCACAGGCCTGGGCCCAGGAGCTTCAGCCCTGGTAAGCCTCTGCATTAAACCGGCCCTGCACACACACACATACACACAGGGGATTTTAGGGTGATTGTCAAGGTCATAAGGATAAAATAAACGTAGGCCTACGTCTTGGTATCCTTTTGGATAACATGACATTTAGCAGCCTCTTGTGCATCCCTACAAGGAGGCAGCACCCAGCAGTGTCCCTGGCTGTGCAGAGAGCAGGTGCCAAGGACAAGCCATGCCTTTACTAAGTAAACACAGTAATACCAGGGACCCCCCCTCTGTCTCTCTTTCCCTCTCACACCTGCAATCTTTTTTATTTTTTTATTTTTTACAAACAAAATATTATGTAATGTTTCTTCTTGACTGAGCTTAAAATATATTTTTATACAATAGGCCTATTGTTTGAAAAGTATATAGGCTTTATGCAGACGTTGCACTGGTACACAACATTTTGTTTCATTTAGCTCCCCCCCCCCCCCCCCGACTTTGTCCTGGTTTATTTCACATTTATGTAGCAGAACTCATAGCATAGGCCTACTACAGGGTGATGCCTCTGTGACACATTCTCCCTAACTCATCCATTGAGTTCCATACCGAATAGGCTACTTTCAAAAGCAAATCACAGGCACAAAGATGATGTAGTACGGAAGTCCAGATATACGAGAAAATTCTCTGGTGATCTTGACAAAACAAGGGACATTTTACTTTTATTCATATGTCCTCTCTGGACTTCCATAGAGCTGTCCTTCAGCACCACAATATTTTGCTCACCATTTGTGGCTGAAATTACAAATAGACTGCAGCCTTCATGAAATGTTGGAGTATTTAGAAACCTCAACATGTGATTCACTTCATCCGTTTTACTAGTTTTATTTTTCTGTACTGCTTGTTAATTATTGTTTGTGACTGTGTTTTTGCTGCTATTGACAGGCCAACCTCCCTGTAAAAACTATGAAAGAGATTAAAATACACTTTTATTGGTAGTCTGGTAAACTTTCACTGGTAGTCTGCCACCACAGACCTCAATGTTAACTTTTCTTGCACTGTACATTCCACATTCCACATTCAATCCATTTCAAAATGTCTTTAAATTTGAATTGTATTGGAGCCAAAACTGGAAGCCATCTATAACTGACAGACATAATGCAATTTCTGCCTGGGTTAATCTCTAATCAAAATAAAAACGAATGTACTGATCAACCCTGGGCTCTGCAGCCTATCATCAGTACTGCAACTCCTATTTATAGTTTATATCTTGATCTCCACACAACAACTTTTGTTATGTTGTGATCACAATTTTTTTATTTTTTATTGATCCAGACAAAACTAGGGATTTTCTTTATTTATTCATATGTCCTCTCTGGACTTCTGTAGTGGACTTCTATACCAGGCTGCTTATCTGTAATTCTGACTTGAAAATTGTTCATGATAAATGGGTTGCATGGCCAATGCAAATGATGGAAATTAACTGCATTTCATTGATTTCAAACTTCTCTACTTCTGCAGGTGACTCATTGCCAACCACTCTTCGAAAAATGTGTGACATAGAGCCATCTTGTGTATACTTATCGAACTGAAACCTGCTGCTCTCGAACTTGTTTCACCTACTATTTCTGCCCAAAAGGTGGCGCCATGACATACCAGGAGTAACCAAGGTACTGGTGGCAACTGTAAATCAGACCTATTTTCCTCAACCTGGTCTCAGAGCATTTCGTATTATTCTGTACGTAAATCCTAGATAATATTCTTAGTATGATATGTTACGTTTGGTATGGTTACATAAGACAGGTGGTTACTTTGGAACTACTTAGCATGTTAGCTAACCCTTCCCCTAACCCTAACCTTAACCCTTTTAGCTAACCCTTCACCTAACCCTAACCTTAACCCTTTTTGCTAACCCTTCCCTAACCCTAACCCTTTAACCTAACTCCTAAACTTAACCCTAACCTGAACCCTAAACCCTCAACCTAATTCCTAGCCACCTAGCTAGAATTCATAACATATCATACGTTCTGCAAATTCGTAACATATTGTACGTTTTGCGAAATCGTAACATATAACACATTTTCCAAATTTGTTACATATTGTATGTTTTGCAAATTTCAGATTTACTGAAAGAATAATACGAAATACTCTTGACACCAGGTTGATTTTTCTTTACATAATAAGTGTTTGCCAAGTATTAGTCACACAATACTTAAACTATTTATCGTATCTGAATAAGGGGTCCTTTATCCAAATGTTGCACGTTGATCAATCTGAACAAAACAATAATAAAGTACAGTCGCGCCCTATGTGGCCTAATCAGTTGGACTGTAGGCCAGTGGACCTATGCGCCTATTGATAGAATCGACATACACAGTAGTTAAACTATCATTCTCCTGTTTCAGACATACTGGCGTCTTAAAGAACAATCATTATTGTCTTGAAGTCGAATAAATGAGCTGTTTAGTGATCTGACACGTTTGCGCAATTGTCTCCATGCACGTCTCCAAATGGGTCAATTTGTTTATGGTAAGCGCGCTTTTGCCCTCAAGTGTCAAATTTGCGTAATCGGAATGGTCAAAACTATTGCATTGATGTGTGTTGTCTGCAGGTCAATTTGATAGATGGCCATTGTTATCGCTTTTGGGGCACATGTTTTTGTTTAGGAATGGGTTAGCGAGTGTCCCTTCCTGCGCTCATACGGAGGTGGGGTGTGCCCTCAGGGCGAGCACACCCCCATTGCTTGTGTCAGAGTATTTCAGCAGAAGAGAGAGCAGCATTTTAGAGACAGTCACACAATGGTCCACAGCTGAACAAGTTCAGACAAACTGGTGGACTATACGTTTCAGAAATATTTTATTATTTCTATATGCCGCTATTCTCATGTGGATCTAAGTCTTAAGACGTCTGTCTATTTCCAAAGTTTGAACCAGTTGATATTTTGCGCACACATATCGCAAAGTGGAAAAATGCCTCGGTCTTTCTTGGTCAAAAAGTATTTCGCCAACAAAAAACCCAACTACAGTGAACTGGAGTGTCAAAATGGTGAGTAGCTTAACTTTATTTATTCATTGTATGAAGTTGAATGCATTACATAAATGCATAACACATTACAGAATAGGAGCCACCTGTTTTATTTATTAGTGTTCCTTACAATAAACCTCTGGGAATGTTTTTTTTTTTACATGATCATAAGTGTTGCCTCAACAAACCTTCTCCATGTTGGCAACCTTTACAAATGATACTCTCTCTGTTTTCAAGTTTTCCATTATAAAAGTTCCCCCTAAACTGCACAGAGCTACCATTCATGTTTCTACCCCATGTAAATATGTGGGAGGAAATGGCCCATGAAATCTCAGCTTTGCTGAAACCTCATTTTTTTTTGGTGTAAAATGCTCTGTAGAAACTTGACAGGGCAATTGTGGCTTTACAAGTTGAAATTATGTGGCCTATCCAAACTTCATCATATTTTTTTATTTATTGTGTTGTGTCGTTCCAGTTACATGAATCATATGTACATGATGAAAACATATTTAGTATCTGACAACTGTGCTGTAAATGTACCTCTGTATTCTAAACCTCTTCCTCATCCCTCAGCCACCTCACTGGAGAGGTACCCACTAGCTGAGCTTCCAGCAGGGGACAACAACTCAGCTACCACCTGTTACACAACGGGACTGGTATGGGACGTGAGCTTTCTTCCAGCCCTCTACGTCCCCACATCCCCCACTGATGCCTCCCCCACCCCTGGGCCCCTGGACCTAAGCTCCCCCTCCAGCCTCAGCAGCAGTGCCAGTAGCAGTGGGGAGGAGGACGAGGGGCGCACCTCTGACCCCCCCAGCCCCGAACCCACAGACACCTACCACCCCCCTCAGCGCCCCAAACGCACCAGCACCAAGAGTCATGGGGCCCCGAATGAGGACGAGAGAGTGGCCCCAGTCACTGCAGCAAGGCCAGCCTTCTTCTGCAAGCACTGCCCTAAAGAGTACACCAGCCTGGGGGCTCTGAAGATGCACATCCGCTCACACACGCTACCCTGTGTCTGCCCCACCTGCGGGAAAGCCTTCTCCAGGCCCTGGCTGCTGCGCGGCCACATTCGCACACACACTGGTAAGAACTCCTACACTTGCCATTTGGTATGACTTTGGTGGAAGGGAGGATTGGTTACTCAGTTGATTGGATCATCATTACATTGTAGTGGTAGACATGAGCACATGAGGAAGTCCTGTGGGCTCATTGGTCATTGATCACTCATAGAGTACCACAGTATGAGTCATAATACCCATAAAACCTAGCGGTCAAACAGGGAAATAGTTCCAATAGTTTTTCCACCATTGATTTTTCCCTAGGGAATTTTATAAACACTTAAAATAAGGGCTGTGTTTCGTGTAGGCTTACCCTGGCGTGACGTTTTTATAACCATGTAAATCTCTCTCGGACAAGGTGACTTTTATCAATATATTCACCTCTGTTTACCCCCCAAAAATGAAATGCTAATTAGCTGATAATGTGGCTATCATAAAGAACTACAAATGCCATGATGATCTGGACGAGACTGCGAAGTTGAGGAAAAGGTTAGAATCTCTGGATTAACTATCTAATGTTAACTAAATGTAGTAATTAATAAATTGGCTACATTTCTTTTAATGTACCTATTAGCAAAGCTGCCAGCTAGAGATGACGTGCAGGAGCTTGCAGGGATTTGTACTCTTGCATGATGTCTACTTTGTTGCTAATTAGCATTTTCAAATCTGAGAGCCGAATATATTGATAAAAGTCACCTTGTCCGAGAAAGATTTAGATGGTTATCAAAACATCATGCCAGGGTAAGCCTACACGAAACACAGCCCATATTTTAAGTGTTTCTAAAATCCCCAATGGGAAAAATGAATGGTGGAAAAATGGTTGGAACCATTTCCCTGTTTGACCTCTAGGTTTTATGGGTATTATGACACCTCCACTCTGGGGCTCTATTGTGACTCTACCTTACTGTAACATTGATTTACTGAGAATGATTTTATCATTGGCTACTGTGTGAGAGAACAGAATGCTGGATTATCTTTTGATGAAGGGGACAAAGAGCGTAAGGAAGCGCTCAGCTATCAAACTGGCCACTTACTACCAGCAACAACTTGAAAGTAGTAATCTAATTTGGCACTGATTTAATCATGTTAATTCAAGTGTGGTCGTGATTCACCCAGCTTGACACCAGGTTCATCAATACCCTTTAAATGAGCTGTGAGGGTGATTCACTAAGGTGTTAATGAACCACTCTGCTGAGCCCGAGACAGCCAAATTGATATAATTGTGTGGGGGAGAAAAGTTTGCACTTTATTGCTGTTCAAAGTCAAGGTTCACAGACCCTGTCTCATACACAGACACAGGCTTAAAGGCTCGGACACAACAATAGCGTTTGCGGGCCGAGAGTACTTAGCACCTCTGAACAGAGTGCCTGCTGTGTCTATCTTCATGTAGAATTGTGCGAAAATGTTGTCAGTCAGACGTCCATCAGCAGATGGTCCCTAAAACACACCACGCAGACGAACAGCATATCAACATTCGGTGCGGTGTGTGTGGTCCTTAAAGTCACAGTTAGTGTCATGCATCTCTAACCCATGCTCCTCCTACCATCTCCTCCTCCTTAGGTGAACGCCCATTCTCCTGCCAACACTGTAACCGTGCCTTTGCTGACCGCTCCAACCTGCGGGCGCACCTGCAGACCCACGCTGAGGTGAAGAAGTACCAGTGTGGTGTGTGTTCCCGTACCTTCAGCCGCATGTCCCTCCTCCAGAAACACAGTGCAGCCAGCTGCTGCTCCTCCTCCACAGCGTGAGCAGGAATGAGCCAGGCAGTTATCCCCAGAGAGACCTCAGGGTGGTGGGGGCATCTACAGACCCATACCATCAGCAAGACCAGAGGAGCCTGAACCAATCTACCAACAGAGACCATGGATCCACCATTTACTAGTAGGAGAGGAAGTTGACCCTGGCTCATATCTCTTTGAATGCAACTTCCATAGCCATCTCAGTTTCTCTGTTTCAAACACATTTAAAGAAAGAAGAGGAACACATTTTTCAAACTCCTCCCATTGCAAGCCAAATCTGGTAGATGTTCTGAACTCTGTAATCCTGCCATTCTCCCAGTCCCAACATTGTTTTTCCTCATATATATTGTGGACTCATGGGGGTTAGTGTGCCGGTGTACTTTTGAGTCTATCCCAGCCTCGGTGTTGGCCAGGCCAGCTCAGGATAATCATGGCCTAGACACAGACACAGCTGCTGAGAGATGTAGGGGTGTGTGGGTGGGATACATCTCTCAGCATGACACACACACACACACACACACACACACACACACACACACACACACACACACACACACACACACACACACACACACACACACACAGCTGTCCCTGGTAGAGTGGTGTAGATAGACACGGTGCTAACAGGTGCTCTGGCCCTGACCTCTACTGGGTCGATAACAGGTGACTTCCACCGCCCCCAGAAAGAGGAAGTATGTCATCATCACAAAGAGGATGGAGTCCGTTGGTCCCTTTGTATGCTTTTGTCTCCAGTGGGTTCGTCTTAAGCCGTTATTTTGACCACACCAAGCCCCACTGTAATCTGATGTGTTTCCTAGATAGGATAAAGCCATTTGTTTCTGTCATTATTCCTCATGGAAGCTCTGCTCCTTCAATGTTGTTTTAATTCCTGAATGAAAATCTAAGCCATGCACTCCAGGTTACCACAGTGTTAAATATTCCCATTGTTCTCGACAATGGTAGAGAGAACCACCGTTTTTGTAAGATATAAACTTATTTTATGAATTGTATTATTTCTAAACCAAAGATGTGCCGTGCCTTCTTACCTCATCTGGTAGTTGTTGTTTAAAAAAAAATCTTGACTAAGTGTATTAATATTATGCATCAAACACTCAGAACTGGGGGAACGAGGGGACCAAACAGCATGTCTCATAGAGGCACGGTTTGATGGATCAAAAAAATCCTAAACCCTATATGGTGGCTTTTTACAGTGCAATGTTCAGATTGTATGTAGTCTTATTTCAATGTTTTACTGTGTTTGTGTGTCTTTCACTTCCATTTCAAATATTTCATAGCTGATGGATTTGCATTCAATAAAGTAATTTATGTTTGAAAAAAAGTGTTGTTACTTTTACTGTTAATTAGGATATGGCTCTCTTTCAGCAACTGTAAATGTAGTGTGTTGGTAGTGGATGGGCAGTTTGAATTGGACATTGTGATATTTTAGAGAGAGGCAGGTGTGCAGGTGAACACACTGAGTGATGGACAGGGACAACTGCATGCACCTGCTCAATGTCTCCACCTGCCACCCACCTCCTGCAGCCAATGTTTAAACACTGTGCACAAATGTGTGAAAGAGAGAGTAGATTTGTTGGCCAACATTAATCTTATTTAACCTTGTTCCAGGTCTGTATTTCCTTGTTTGAGGGAGTTAAGGCTCGTACTCTGTAGCCCAGACAGTGAGTCAGAGTCTGTGTAGCCAGGAGAGTCCAAGTTCCCATGGTTCTCTGAGTGATCAGGTCTGGTCACAGAGCAGTGAGGGTGCGTGGGCCGTGGCAGAGGATGAGGTAAGCTGTTCCACTCAGCCTCTCTGTCAGCTGGAGCAGCTAGCCACATGCTTCTTCAACTCCTAATTTCCCTCCCATTCAGGGAAATATTAACCGAGCTGGAGATAAGACTTCTGTTGTCGGTTTTGGTCTGTTTAGTGAATCACATGACACACGCTAACCACTGGGTCTGGGTAGTTGTTAGAAAGAAGAGCTCTAGACGTTTTGTCATACAGCTGTGTGCTAACAAAGAGTCCTATATGGAGTGAGTGGTTGTGAGAGGTCTGGAAGTTGGATTTATGGTTCTGAGTCATTTGGTTGTTACCATTGCACCTTTGACCTGGATGTTTGTCACTACTTCCTCCGAAGCTGCCTCCTCTCCTTGTTCGGGCAGGCTTCGGCGTTCATCGTCACCGGCCTGCTAGCCACTGCCGCTCCATATCTCATCATTCCATTTGTTTTGTCTTGTCTATTACACACACCTGGTTCATATCCCCTCATTAGTACGTGTATAAGTGTTCCCTCTGCCCCCCTTGTCCTTGTGGGTGATTGTTGAATGTGAGATGAGAGTAGCTTGGTTGAGCTCAGTGTATTTTGTATTGCCGGGGTATATTTTCCCAGTGTGCCTGTTTTGTTCCAGTGCGCCTGTTTTGTGCACTGGACTGGTTGACGCTATTCTGCGTAACGCTGTATTACGGAATCAACTCTGTATTCTGTGATTTACCCTCCTGCGCCTGACTCCTTCAAATCACGCATCACAGAATCACCCACCTGCTATGGAGTCAGCGGGAGAGGAGCGCATGCCTGGAGTCGTGGCACGGGTCCAGGAGCATACAACAATGATAGCCAGCTTGGGAGAAGCGATGGATTGGGTTCTCCAGGTCGTACAACGCCTGGAGAGGAGTGGACCCGATCTGTTGAGACCAGCTAGGTGACCGGATCCAGCCACCCACACCCCAGCACCCAGAGGGATCCAGATATCCCGACCACGGGATTTCAACAGCACAGCTGCTCTCTGCCAGGGATTCCTCTTCCAACTGAAGCTCTACTTGTCCAGCATCAGCCGGGCCCCATTGGAGCGGGAGAAGGTGTCCGCCCTCGTCTCCTGCCTCTCGGCGAAAGCCCTGGAGTGGGCCAACGCGGTCTGGAATGAAGGAGGAGCCGCTTTGGACAACTACGGGGAGTTCGCTCGCCTCTTTCGGGCTGTCTTCAATCACCCGCCCAAGGGTCGAGAGGCGGGTGAGTGGCTGGTCCACCTGAGGCAGGGGACGCGGACCGCGCAGGACTTCGCTCTGGAGTTCCGGACACTAGCAGCTGGGTGCGGGTGGAACAAGCAGGCCCTTATCGACCATTTCCAGTGCCATCTGTGGGAGGACGTCCGAAGGGAGCTAGCCTGCTGGGACACCATGTTGTCCTTCTCTCAACTTGTGGACATGGCCATCCATTTGGACAGCCTTCTGGCGGCCAGAGGACGTCCTGGAGGGGGTCTGCCCATTCCAACCCTGCCCGACTCTGATCATGAGCTGATGGAGCTGGGGGGAGCGGCGATCCGAGGGAGCGGAGGATGACAGCGCCAGTGTCACTCTGGTGGTACGAGAGGACATTTCACCGCACAATGTCGTCAACGTCCTTTTGGATCTGGGCGGCAGGCAGGGCACTCTCGCGTCACCCCAGGTATCGAACACCCACACTTGTTCAGAGCCCTCTGCTGCGCACTGTACCCTACCCATCCACTTTCCTGATTACATTGTAGCTCCCCAGTGTAAGGCGCTAGTCGATTCAGGTGCAGCTGGGAACTTTATGGACAGGTCATTCTCACACAGTTTAGGCATTTCATTGGTTCCCCTATCCATTCCACTCCCCATCAGAGCACTTGACAGTCGACCATTAGGTCCGGGTTTGTTAGGGAAGTCACAACACCAGTCACTATGGTTACCCACGAGACTCATCGCGAGCAGGTCACTTTTTTATTATTGAGTCTCCTGCTTTACATATTGTTTTAGGTATTCCTTGGTTAGCACTCCACAACCCCACCTTCTCATGGCCGCAGAGGGTTCTCACGGGGTGGTCGCGAGAGTGTCAGGGTAGGTGTCTCTGTGTTTTTCCGTTGTTGCAACCACAGTGGAAAGTCCAGACAGTACCTCCACTGTGCGCATTCCCCCACGAATACCTCGATTTGGCGCACATGTTTTCCAAAATGCAGGTGACCAAGTTACCACCTCATCGGGCGGGGGATTGCGCGATAAACCTCCGGGTAGACGCAGTGCCTCCCAGGAGTCATGTGTATCCCCTGTCACAGGCTGAAACGGAGGCTATGGAAACATACGTCAACGAGTCCCTTCGCCAGGGGTTTATACGTCCCTCCACTTCGCCCGCCTCCTTAAGTTAATTTTTTGTAAAGAAGAAAGACGGCGGTCTGTGCCCTTGCATTGATTATCGATCACTGAACAAAGAAACGATACGATTCAGTTATCCTCTCCCCCTCATTCCTTCAGTGATCGAGTCAATGCATGGGGCGCGCTTCTTCACCAAATTAGATCTCCGGAGTGCGTACAACCTGGTGCGTGTCCGAGAGGGGGATGAGTGGAAGACAGCATTCAGCACAACCACGGGGCATTATGAATACCTGGTGATGCCTATAGTTTGATGAATGCTCCATCCATCTTCCAGTCCTTTGTGAATGAGGTGTTTTGGGACATGCTTGGTCGCGGTGTAGTGGTCTACATCGATGACATTCTGGTGTATTCCACTACGCACGCCAAGCATGTGTCCCTGGTTCGCAAAGTGCTGGCCCGACTGTTGGAAATTGGCCTTTATGCCAAGGCAGAAAAGTGTCTGTTTTTCCAGCAGTCCGTCTCCTTCCTCGGATACCGCATTACCACCTCAGGTGTGGAGATGGAGGGAGATTGCATTGCAGCCGTGCGTAATTGGCCAACTCCAACCACGGTTAAGGAGGTGCAGGGCTTTATTGGCTTTGCCAACCACTATCGGAGGTTTATCCGGGGCTTTGGCAAGGTCGCAGCTCCCATTACATCTCTGTTGAAGGGTGGGCCGTCCCGGCTCTGCTGGTCTGCTGAGGCTGACAGGGCCTTCAGTATCCTGAGGGGTCTGTTCACCTCAGCCCTGGTACTGGCCCACCCCGATCCATCACTACCGTTCGTAGTGGTGGTGGATGCGTCCGAGGTAGGGATAGGCGCTGTCCTATCTCAACACTCGGGCACGCCACCCAAGCTCCGCCCCTGT